AGCTTGACACAGTAGCAAAAGAAACAAAATCTGTAAGCCTGCTCAAGGGAAAATCAGTTGATTTCCTACAATAAGTTAAAAAAAAATCAAAAATCAAGAAGGAGAAAGAAAAAGGAAGAGGAGGTGGAGAAGGAGATGCAGGTGCTCATCAAAAACATGAACAACCCATGAGCACTCATGTTTGGCAAGAAGGGTCATACTGTCCACACAAACACCACAGAGCAGATGGAAAAGGCAACAGACAGCAAACAAAAGAAAGACCAATTTCCACACAGACACAGCAGAAAAGAAACAATATGTGAAGTTGAAGCTTCTCAGTATCAGATGCAGTTTAAGTATCATCTAGGCTGAGAAACTGAAATTAAGTTCCTAGTCTTTTTTCCTTCTTCTTTCAGTGATTCATTACCTAAATTCATGTAAGTCTTTTACTCACACTGGTACGTAAAACAGGTGTCTTCACTAAAGAATTTTAAGGCTTAATGCCTGTTTAAAAGCTGACAGCACAGTGTAGTTGAAGTCCACATGAGGAGCCAAGAGATCGAATTCTTACTGCCAGATCTGCCACAAACCTGTCTTGCAACAAACAAATTTTATTTTCTCTGTGCCTTAGTTCCCTCCTTCGCTTGATTATTTCAGCTGTACACCTCATGATTAGACTTACCACACACTTCACTGCGGGGACCCACATCTTAGATGCCACGTTAGTACAAGTGCACTATTTCTATTAAACTTCAGACAAGAAAGCCTAACACCTACCAAAGCTCCAAATGCCCTTTCAAACCCCCCCTCCTTTTCCCCAAGCATCAGATTTCTACATTTTGATCCTGCAGCTGCACACTTAGCAATTGTCTTGCTGCAAGCCACGAAACTCAGCATTTGAGCTACACTTGGCAAGTGGGAAAACCTTAACGCTGACATGATGGGCCTTCACTAATAACCACTTTAATACTAGCCTCCTATTTCAGATTCATGTGGGATTAATGGAGGCACTTTAACAAACTCCCTTTGAAACACTGTCCCAAAAAGGGCAGGTATCTGAAATTAAACCTGAAAATCACTAAACACAATAGAGCACAGCAATATGCAATTTCATCAAGAAGCATCAGCTAATCCTCACAATACCTTAATTTTGTGTTAAAAAAAGAGCACAATCACTGCAGCAACTACATCTTGAAGCGACAAAGGCACAGATCCCACTAATTGTCTCTAAAGTGACTTATTTCCTCATTTGACACAAGTGCAGAAAGGCATTCACAGGCACTGTAACTGTATAACTACCCAATTAGCAGCTGGAGATCAAACAGCTTCCTCCCCCCCCCCCCATGGAAAGAACTAGTGCAAAAAACCCCTTAAACTGCTCAAAGTGCATGGGAAAGATTTCAAGACTTTCTGAATCAGCTAGTCACTTCCACAAGTCACCTACATCATCTAGTTGCCATCTAAGTGCTGTCCTCACGTTCACAGGTAAGAGGGTATTTTACAGAAACTCTCCTTTGGGCAGTAACCTACATAACCCATAGCCCTGGCCAGATCAGCAAAGAGCAATAAACCAAAAGAACAAACAGGAAGGTTGCAGACATGTTTGCTCTGTTGCACTCTCACACTGTGATCAGGAGGAGAAAACAGCTCTCAAGAGAGCTCTGCCATAGTGTGCAACAACATTCCCTTACCACCCCAGAAGCACCCAGCTAAAAAGGAACAGGGCCTTAAAAAGCACTGCCTCCTGCACACTGGCATCAGTCACCCTGCAATACCAAGAGCCCCTGTCCCAGTCGGCACCAGATCTCCCAGCTGGAGGAATTTAGTGTATCTTAAATAGGGAAAGCACACCTCACAGCAGGGCTCAGCACATCCCATGTCTGATTACCCGCTATCTGAAATGAAGTGGTGCTCCCATTGCCCATCTTGCCCTCTCCACAGAGGGCCTGAACAGAACCATTCATTTCTGCTACAGCCTAAACAGATCACAGTTGGGAAGCTTCAAGGCTGTTAACACACCCAACCATATCAGAGCTACGGCTTTCATCCAGTGCTAGATTAGCTGTCACTGCAACCAGTGCAGTTCAACACTTCACAGTGTTTTGAGTCCCAAATGTTAAAGTAGGGGGGGTGTCAAACAGCAAAGAGCAGGTTAATGCCTTGTAACCACTTACATCTCAGGAAAATGGTGGTGTTGCTGAAAAGAATCTTCCCAAAGTTAAACTTCTTCCCCTGCAAAAGCACAAAAAAGGAAAAGACATTAATGGGCTTAATGTCACCGAGCTTAAGTAAACATCATCTTCCACTCAAAGTTTTAAGTCAATACAGCAATGAAAGTAAATGCCAAATCAGGAGCCAGCCTTACTGGATTTTCCAGTCATGCTTCACCACCCCTTCAACCTACTCTTAAAGATGGCTTGAGAGGCTTGGGGCTTTTTGTTCTGCACAACTGAATCATTTTCATTGCCATTTGTTGAAGTGATTAGCATTTTCTTGCTGATGGTCTGGACTATCCAACAAAAAAAATTTTTGTTCTAAGAATCAACAGGAGTGTTCACCATGATCCTTTAGTTTTGTTCCTGAAGCTTAAGAGCCTCACAGAAAATGTACGTTAGTCCCTTCTACAACCTGGTAAAGGCAGGTTTAATGTGAGACAAAACAGCTTTTCTCCATGCAACTTCAAACACGCACGGTATAAAAGAAGTGCTGGAAATCCCTTCACCTTCCCAGAGGCCCACATCTCTCTCGGTTCAGCGTTTCAGGGGCCCAGCTTTCCCGCCGCCAGGCCCCAGCGCAGCCCCGACG